GCTCCGGAGTCCAGCCCGGGACTTTCCTGCAGCCCTCCCAGCCGCTCGCTCTGCTCTGCCGGGGAGGGGGGAAATCCCGGACATTGTGAGTGCTTTACAAATTCCCCCGGACGCTATTTTAGTACAAAAAGGAGGACATGTCCGGGTAAATCCGGACGAATGGTAACCCTATGTATCTGGGGCAGCAGGGCCCAGGGCTGGGGCATGGCTCCGGATAGTCCTGTTCCCATCTCCACCACTCACTCAGGGGGTAGGTTCAGGCCGCTCAGCGCCCGCCCACCCTGGGCCTCCCTTCTCCTCTCTGTGAAATGGGCACAATAAGACCAGTCATGGGCGACCACCTAGTGAATGGTACAACGTGCGATCGACGACTCTGTGGGCCAGATCTTCAAGGGCTCAGCTCTCCCAGCCGGGGTCAGATTCCCCGGCCAGCTCGGGGGGTTGGCTGCTGAGCTCTCCAGCCCCACATCAGCACATCCCCCCAGAGCTGCACTTACCCAAGAGAGACCCCGGCCACCTGGCCACGTCCCTGGCTCTGGGGGTCATCTTAGCCCACCACCGACCTTCCCTCACCCCCCCGCTCTCTTCCAGATCCCCTCGATAACCCGCTCCATAGACCACGACAAAGTCCTGGCGCTCCGACAGCAGACCCAGTTCCTGTGGGAGACGTACTTCTCCTCGGTAGAGAAAATCGTGCTGACCACCCTCGAGGCGAGTGCTCCCGGCTTTGTGCGCTCCTCGGTCACAGACATTGTCCCCTCACTCGGGATGGGGGAAGGGCTGGTGGGGGAGACAGTGGGTCTGGTTCGTGCACCGGAACGTGGAAGAGGGCAGGAGAATGGCTTGAGTGGGAGAACAGGAGAGGCTCAGCAGGGAGGAGAGGATGTCCCGGCATCTTGCTCCTTCCCTTTGGAGCATTGTGGGAGGTGTTTACGGTCTGCCCGAGACCCAGGCATTGCTTACCTCTCTCTTACGTCCTCTGAGCTTAATCTCAGAGTGGGAGAGGGGTCGGCAGTGCGTAGGTTTACCATATCTCATAAATAAAAAAAGAGGACCCTCCACGGGCCCTGGCCCCGCCCATTTCCCCGCCCCTAGCCCCGCCCCAACTCCGCCCCTTCCCCACCCTAACTCCGCCCCCTCCTCCCTTCCACTCCCAGCCAGGGGGAAAGGGCTGCCCCAGCGCTACCAGCTTCACAGTTTGCCGGGCAGCCCCCAGACCCTGCGCCCCCAGCCGGCGCTTCCCCAGCGCAGCTGGAGCCCGGGAGGGGAAGCACCCAGCCGGGGGCGCAGGGTCTGGAGGCTGCCCGGCAAACCGTGAAGCCGGTAGCGCTCGGGCTTTGGGCAGCCCCTATGCCTCCGGACCCTGCGCCCCCAGCCGGGCACTTCCCCTCCCGGGCTCCAGCGGCCCAGGGTCTGGAGGCACGGGGGCTGCCCGAAGCCGGTAGCGCTCGGGCAGCTCGGCTCTTAAACAGAGCCGAAGAGTCGGGGAGGAGCAGAGCCGCCATTTTCCCGGACATGTTCGGCATTTTGGCAATCCCCCCTGGACGGGGGTGTGACTGCCGAAAAGCCGGACATGTCCGGGAAAAAGAGGACGTATGGCAACCCTAGCAGTGTGGAGACGGCGCTGCTGGGTCAAGAGAGCTGTCACCCAGGTCAGGATCTGTGATCCTGTGTGGAGGTGCAGAGCTCATCTGCTGACTCATCCTGGCAGTCAGAACAAGTGGCTCCTATGAGCTGCAGCCATGACTAAGATGGGTTGCGTGTCTGGGGGTGGGGGGACTAGGCGATCCCTGCGGGGAAATATTCTAGAACTGCCAAGCTCAGGGGAGAGTTCAGGCTGAGGTTTAGGTGATGAGGTTGTTTAACAGTAACGACAAACCCCGGGAGGCGGGGAAGCGTAGATCACATCGTGTGTGTGTGCGTGTGCGTGTGCCCAGGGGAACCCTTACCAGCGTACGGGAAGTTCATGCATCCATGTGTCCCTGCCCCAGGGCACCGCTCCATAGCTCCTGGTGTGGCGGCTCGGGCAGGGCCTTGGGGAGCTAGGACCGAGGTGGCCAGTTCCCAGACCCTGCTGTGGATTTTCTGGCAGTCTGAAAAGCGCGTTGGGATCCTCTGGGCTGGGAGGTGACACAGAAATGCAGCTGTTCCCTGCAGCAAGGGCACTGGAAGGAGACTAGGGGACAAGGCCCTTGTCTAACTTCTCCCATCCAAAGTGCTGCCACCCGTGAAT